CTGAAATACATTTTAATTACTGGGAGCGATATAATTGTTTAGTGTCCAAATATGCCAAGCTTCATAATTTTATCCCAAAATACTGTATATGGTTTTATTTTGCTTCTGTTTCATGGATTACAGTTTATTTTCTTGGGTAAGAGCACAGATAATGAATTACCAGACTGCCACAGAACAACTGGAACGGACATGTTTGGCTAGTGAGGATGGGGCCATACTTGGGAATAGGGCAGTAGAAAATTCAGCATTATGATTTATCTAGCACAGTGGTTCTCAACCTGTGGGTCGGGACCCCATTTGGGGTCGATCAACCATTTCGTGGGGGTCGCCAAGCAAGGCTGTCCGCCATTTTTTTTGTCCGCTATTTTTTTCCCCTTTTCTGGCGGGTGCCTTACCTCCCTTGGGCTGCTCCGTCTCTGCCGCTTGCCAGCTATGCCTCAGCCGGCGCAGGGGGCGGAACCACGCATGCGCAGTGCTCCCGGGCAGGGAAAGTCCTCGACTTACGACCGGTTTAGTCCTCGACTTACGACCAGTTGGGGTCGCCGCATTAAAAAGGTTGAGAACCACTGATCTAGCAAGTCCAGGGAAAAGCAGGTAAATAAATTAAATGGATTCTTTGCTGGCAAATTAATGTGAAGGGTTTGATATCAATGATTAAGAACATTAACTGCACATAAAGGTTCCAGAGATGATACATGAGATCATAACTCTCTAAAAACTAGATAAAAGCCTCATACAGAGTAAAAATATTTGATAATATCAGGACAACTATTGTAGGAGAATAGCTGAATTCAGGAAAACATACTTCTGTATTAATGGAAAAAGATGAGAGATTATTTTTTCTGGGAATATTAGAGAATGTATAAAGATCACCTTGGAGGTACAAGTTCACAAATTCAGCATATAAATAAAAATAAACACCAAAAGATTAGGAATATGCTAAATCAAGCCTTCCAAAGGAAAAAAGGCCAACAAGCTTCAACCTGTTAAGAAAATCAGGATGTCCTTATTGCTTACCAAAAATAAAGCATGGAGGAGACTGGTTGATCCTCCCCTGAAGAAAGAATACTAGATCTGGATATTGTTACATTATCTTGCTTTGATGTTACCTTGGCTTTAAAATTTAGCTTAATCTCTGGATCAAGATGGTTTCTATGTGATAGTTTGAGAAGCTGTAATTATTTCTTCCATGCTAATACAGACATTACAAGTGAAAACATTTGTACTAGCTGGGTGAAAATTGTCACGATGGCATAGTAAACCACAGCTGGATTTATATAAGAGCAATAGTGTCTGCATTATTCTTGTACTATTTCTCTACAAACTGGTGCTATTGACCCACAATTCAGCTCCGAGCTTCACATTCTCATCTATGAATTATACCCTGCTGATGCTTAAGAAATGTGAATCTTTGTTATCTATTGATGTAGCTGGGCCCAACTGGGTAAACAATTGGATCTTATTTTGGTGTGTTTCACCATTTAATATTCTGTCCCCCATCCTGAAACATTATTTTACTTTAATGAAATTTTAAAGTAAAAGAAGCACAAAATTAATCCATGATAAAAATTATCAGCTTTATTCTTTTGGCTTGTTAGTAAGATGGTTTATAGTTCTTTATGCTAAAATATTCTTCTACATGCAATTCATCAATATATATTATTAGTCAATAGCCAAAGTAAAAGAATAGGTTTACTTCATTCCTCTGTAAGAAACAGACAAAACAAAGATGCTCAGGTACATTGGTTTTCATTTTGCTATTGTGTTCTTACAGAAAGAGGACACTCAGTCAGCCTCTGGGGACCAAGTTATAGTTATGATGTATCTAAATGCAGTACAGATCAAGAAGAATGCTGCAGCAGATGTAGCCGTAGTGAAATTTAAGACCAAATGTTTGTGCAAGTACTATGAGAATCAAGCATTCATTAAATCACAGATCCAAAACTCTCCTTTCACAGGCAAATCACTCATCTGCAATTACTTCACATTCAGATTTGTTCGCTTTTTCTAACTGAAACTTCTAGGTACAGACACAAAATATAGCAATAACAATCTGATCGTCTCCCCCCCACCCCCATTGGCGTGTTAAAATGTATTATAAAATAACGGTTCAAATAAATAGTTAAAGCATATCAACTGCAAGCTGACAAATCAAAGTGATTTAAAAATAATATAAAATATGCTTTTATAAAAAGTTTTATGCATTTATATTTTAAACCAATTACAACGTTCAGAGTACATTTTGTTAGTACACAGTAATGTTATGTCATATAATTAGTAAAAATTATACAGTAGTTATATGCAGCATCAAATATAAATAGAATATCTCTTCAACTAGTTTCTTTCAGCCTTAGGCACATGTTTTCCCCTATCAACAAAGGTATTCTGTGCCAAAAGATCTAGATCCTGTAAATAAAATCCAAATCACTCTAATCAGAATAATTTGTAGAACTTTACTAAATTATACACATCAGCCCCAATTCCAAGCATGGCATGTTCAATTAATTTAGGATTTTTTCTATGTTTCCCCTATAAGGTAAGTAAGGTGACAAAGCTCTTATTTGAAAGTGACAAGGAGTGTACAAAAAACTATTAAGTGATCTTTAAAAAAAAATCTTCACCCAACTACAGTAATGAGCATTCAACAACTGTATAATTTACCAGATCTGCAGAGGATAAACAGTATTTTCCAAAAATCTCAATTATTTTTTAAAAGCTTCCACATGTGTCATGGGAAGAAAGTCTTCCTATGTGAGAAAGTTAAGTGGAATACCTTTCCTAAGGTAATTCCTGATATTTGCACTTTTTCTAGACACAAGCGCGCTTTTTATTGTGTGGGCATTTTCAATCTATAAAAATATTTAAGAAATTAACCTAGAACCTTTGCAGCTGTAGATGTGTTGAACAATTCTCTTTCAAATAGTGATGATAATTATTCACTAATCTTTTGAGAGCTAGGCTTATATCCAATAATTCTAGAGCTAGTTTGCAAGAAAAAAAGAAATGACATATTTAAATAAGCCAAATGTATAAATATTTTGGTTTATTTCACTTAATTTATTAGATTGCTATAGCTGCCCACTCTAGAAGGCTCTAGATGGCGTAAACATAAATAAAAAACAGTAAAAACAATTATGATCCACATAAAGAAATTGTGAAATATACTAATTCAAATATGAACATTCACAATAAAAGAAGAAAAGTCACCATGTTATTTGATTCAGCTTACCTATACATTATAAACTGTATAGAAGCTTTTCTTGTATTATATAGCATGAATAGGTAAAAATTACGAACTTATGCAACCCTGAAATTTGGACAAGTCATGGCTCCTTGTTACTGGTAGTTGCTTACTTTTCCATCATGCATGGGCTAGGAAGTCGAGCATGCCTTCATGCAAATCTGTTATCTGTACATGTTTGAAAATACCAGTAAACTAACTGGCGAAATAAATTCAAGGGATACCTAATGCGCTAGAGACTTAGGATAGCTCATAAAATGCCATTATAAGTATTTAAATTGCTGGACCCTATTGTAGTTGTCATATAATGTTAGAATGAATGAATCAAATCAATCAGTGAATCCATGAACGAATGGTAAGAGCTAGTCTTACCATCAAATGCAATGCATACATTCTATGCCATAGTACTGAATTTTAGAATATGTGCATTTTATTTTTGATTATTTTAATAGGTTTTTTTTTTCATGTAGAAGTAGTTACAGGAGAATACGTATGAGAATGCAAAATCCATTCGGCTTTTGCATTCTTATGTACCATATCTCACAGGGTTCAAGACTTTTTCCCCTAAGGAAGTATCACCTCTGAACACATTCCTCTTCTACAATATGAATATTTGTATGTATACAGACAAACAGAAACCGGAAACTGGTAGAAGTTGAGAAGCTAGAAGAATTGCCAAAACATAAAGAACTATATAAAAAAAGTCAGAATTGATAGTCCATGTAGCACAGTGTTTCTCAACCTTGACAATTTTAAGGCATGTGGACTTCAACTCCCAGAATTCCACAGCCAGCTATGCTGTGGTAGCAGCTAATTCAGATTGTTTTGGAAAGGAAAATCCCACAAAGCTCCATTTAGTATTCAAGTTGTGCCAGACAGCAGCCTATATTCTTAAAGAAGCTACCAGTCTCTTTAAAGGTGAGCAGATGTTAGCTAAATTCAAACAGCCAATGGCCTGAACAGTGATAAATTGCAAATAAAGTCTGGAATCAGCAACAGCCAATAAAGAAGATTGGTAGGTCAAGCTGCTGGCTATCCTTGCACAGTGATGGGGGAGGAACTCAGGTACCCTCGTTTCTATTCTAGGCTTAGTTTTTAGTAAACAAAGCTGGACAATAATTTTTTTTTTCAGGGTGAAATTTGCAGGTCTGAAGGATTTTGCAGATAACTTTGGACAAGCCTACAAATGTCTGACAAAAGTTTTAAGCTTACAATGGTTAAGTTCCCCAATGATCCTATCTTTATTATAGGCAATAAAGTTAAATATATATGTATGTATATATATATAAACGTATCTGAAAAATCAATTCTGTTGCTGGACATCATCACAGACAATGATTTGTGAACAGAAGTACAATTGCACTAACAATTTTGTCAAACATGAAGTAAATGGCAATTGAGATGCACACATCGGATACAATTATTGCAGCAAGAAATAATTTTTGGTTGTTGTTAACAGACACACACGCACACACGCACACAAATGCTAATGCATTCTTACAGCCTATAGTAATTTTGTGAGTCCTCTTCATCTGTGCAAGATGGTAAGAAGAATTGATTTTGTCCTCATAAGTCTGTTACCATACTATGCAGTCAACAATAAAATTGTAAGTACCTTGGATGCATGAATATATTATGTTGATATAGTAGAAATGGTAGTTTGGCATAAGCTTTCAGCATGATTCCTGTTAGTATCAGTACTACTTTTCTGATGCTGTAAACAATTTGGTGTAGACAGAATTATAGCTCTGCTTCGGGGTTACTTTCTGTAATCCTTGTCATCTTTACCTTTTTCTTCTTTTTCTGACTTTTCTTGTTCATATTTGTCTGGTTTTGTTACACTATCATAGGAAGGAGGGGAAGTTGTGGAGGAGCTTCTTTCTGTCTTTTCCAGAGCTAAGCTCAAACTTAATTTATCAAAAGCCATTTCAGTTTTGGAGGGAAAAACATCCCCATCCTTATATAAGTATGATTTATTGAACACTGGTTTCCTTAGGCGATAATGCCTAAAGGCTCTCTGAATAACCTTAGCTGATTCCTCCTCAAGTTTCCGTTTCAGGGTAGTTGTAATTGGTTCATAGGAGACTTTTGAGGGATTAGCAGCCATGAACCGATCTTCCATCTGCACACGAAGGGCGTCCATTTCATCGCTTTCACCCAAAACACGCTTTGTAAAGGCAAATAAGATATCGAGGCAGTGAATTCTGTCACCACTCACTATGGGCAGGTCCATTGCAGTTAGCTGAACTTTGTTTGGTTTTGGTATTAGCAGAGGGGGCTCTAGTGAGGCAGCAAAATCAAAGAGTTTGCTGAGCTCTATAAACTGTGTTGCACCTGGATCAAACTTTTCCCAGACCTCATAGAACATCTCAAAGTCATCTTCCCCTAGCGGTTCAGCACTTTCTTCGGTAGCCACGCTGAAGTTCTCCAAAATGACAGCAATGTACATATTTACTACAACTAAAAATGAGATGATAATGTAGCTGACGAAGAAGAAAATCCCAACGGAAGGATTGCCACAGTCTCCTTCAACTGAGCTTCCCGGATGAACCCTTTTAGGGTCACAGTCTGGCTCCTTGTTGAGAATGGGCAACAGCAGTGCATTCCAACCACCAGAAGTGGTAATTTGAAACAGGCAGATCATGCTGTTAGCAAAAGTTTCAAAATTGAACATGTCGTCAATCCCAGCTTCTCTTTTAACATAGGCAAATTGGGACATTCCAAATATAGCGTAGATGAACATGACCAGGAAAAGGAGGAGACCAATGTTGAACAAGGCAGGGAGAGACATCATCAAGGCAAAAAGCAGGGTGCGGATTCCCTTTGCCCCCTTGATTAGACGCAGGACTCGACCTATCCTGGCAAGTCGGACCACTCGAAACAAAGTGGGGGACACAAAGTATTTCTCAATGATCTGTGACAGGGACATACCTACAAAAAAAAAATCACTATGAGTTAAAATTGTATAGTTATATTTCATACATTTATTATATATTACTATAACTTTAAATCAGGAGTGTATATATTACCATAACTTTAAATTAGGATGAAATAACATCCTTATGACTTCTTTTATTTGAAATTGGCTCTATCCCTCTTTTCTAAGTCATATGACAGAAAACAGGAATAGGACACTAAGTCAACGTATCCTGTGCACAAAAATGAATCATTTTTTTTAGCAAAAATGAAAGAACTATCAGAAAATAAAACATTTTTTATGCATAGCACACGACATATGCAACTCGTTTTTATTCAGAGTTTTGCACAGAGATCCATGAATTTTGAGAGCTTAGAATTGCATTTGGTCTTTAAGTAGGATCCTGAGGAAAGGGGCTTCCATGTTTAAAACAGGAAGATTCTAATTATAATTTTAGGATTATAATTAAGTAAATTATAGTTATCTACTTATTTAATACAGGCTCTTTTCTGACATATTAACTATTTAAATATTTAACCTCTTTTTCTATACTTAAAAAAGAAAAGAAATATAGCATTTTATTACAGTCTATTTGTGATAATTTCTTAGAAATATGAATATTAAAGTGTGTGTTTTCATAATATAAATGAATAAATATATTTGTTTACTCAAAAAAACCAAAGCATAAAAGCTATCTCAGGGAGCATCCATCATCTATAGAAATAAATTCACCAATTAATTATGCCTTGCACTAAGAATAGTGTTTTTCATCTGTACATGAAATCACATGAAAGTACTTTCTATGATCTCTGAGGTAATATAATGCTTTAACAATTTATCATACACAAATTAATAATACAAACAGGCTTTATAAAATGTGAAGCCAAGAATACTGGGTATGTCATCAGCAGTGCTTAGTAATTTATATCAAATGTCCAAAATATTCAAAAGACAATTTAATCTGATTTTACTTCAAAAGTTTCTTACCTACAATGGAGAATATGACAACCACAAAATCAAATATATTCCAGCCAATAGTGAAATAATAGTAACGGAGAGCAATCAATTTCAGGAGACACTCCGCAGTAAAAATGACAATGAAAATCAAATTAATCCAATATAAAATTTCTTCTACGGAAGGGTCCTGGTCAGCTGTTTCCACCATCATAGTGACCATGTTAAGACAGATAAGAATCATGATGCCGATGTCAAAGGCTTGTTTGGTTACAAAATCAAAAACAAAGCCTTGTATTTTATTCTAAAAGAGAAAAAAACCCAATTTGTTATTATTTCCTGAAGGATTGGAAATCCTTTTACTAAGTTACTTTTTCAGTTATTGATAAAAAGGATAACAATTTTATTTCAACAAAGTGTTTTATTCCTATCTATTTGTTTTACCCAGTTAAATAAATAACAAGGCATTCTTACTGATGGCCTGGGTATAGGTTTCTGTGGCTTTTTGGATCCCAATTTTTTCATGGCATTATAATATTTTTTTTGTTCTTCTGTCATAAAAATATCTTGACCTCCTAAGTAAAAAAGTAAAACAAAATGGTTATAACCATTTACCTCACAAGGACAAAGCTGTACATGGTACTTTAAAAAGGCTTTGAAAGAAATCGGTTAACTAAGCGATCACAGGATAAGAAGGCAAGTTCTTCCCTTAAAATCAGCTAAAACAAGGCTATGAAAAATTCTCCGAATGAAGGAATGTGGAACAGTGGAATTTTTCAAGTATTTCTATTGCAACTAATGGTTATTATGTTTTCATAAAATGTTCTGGAGATAACATAGATAGAACATAGAAGGGGCAAAATGTACTTTAATACTATATTATTCAGGATAGATAGAATAATAAGGGATAGCAACGAGTTCCAAAAAATGTTTCCAATCTGATATAACGGAATTAAAATGGCACAAATAATTCAATGTACAGATAGTCCTCGATTTACAACCATAACTGAGCCCAAGATTTCTGTTAAGTGAATCACTGTGGTGGTAACATGGCTTCCCCATTGATTTAGCTTGTCAGAAGTTTGCAAAAGGTGATCACATGACCCTGAAATACTGCAATCGTCATAAATATGAGTCAGTTGCCCAGCATCTGAATTTTGATAACGTGACCTTGAGAGATGCTGCAATGGTTGTAAAAAATGGTCATAAGTGAAAAATGGTCGTAAGTCACTTTTTTCATTGCCATTATTAACTCTGAATGGTCAATAAGTGAAGTGTTGTAAGTCACGGTACAGCTGTATGGAAAGTAATTATCTGGGGGCCAAAAATCTAATATATGTTGTTGAAGTAAAATGAGGCCCCAGATTGTTGGGGGCAATATGCTGACTGTGTAGACTGGTTAGAGAGGGCTATAAAGCACTGTGAAACGGTATATAAGTCTAAGTGCTATTGCTATTTGCTGGCCATGCCAGCTGGATAAGGTGTGCTAAATGTGGTGGATGGCTTAATGCAGAGGCCCCCAACCTTTTGGGCACCAGGAACCGGTTCCATGGAGAGAGTTTTTTCTGAGGACCGGAGGGAGCGTGTTTTTCCGTGCTGCCTGCATTCCACGGATGGGCCTTTGCTTGTTTGTGCGGGCCAGTTGCTGGCATGCCGTGGCCCAGTACTGGTCCACGGACCGGGGGTTGGGGTCCCTGGCTTAATGAAAGCATTATTTTATTTTATTATTTTATTTTTTAAATTTATATCCCGCCCTTCTCCTTGCGGACTCAGGGCGGCTGACAACCGGATAAAAAATACAGAATATCAAACTACAAATTTAAAAGTTAATTAAAAGGCAAATATTAATAATTGGTCTAATTAAAATTATAATTAAAACCCCCTCTAAAAGTTTTCCCCTAGGCCAACCCCCTCTAAAAGTTTTCCCCTAGGCCAGTCCCGCAAGCTGGAATAACCATGTCTTAGGATCTAGCTGCTGTGTAGCACACAAAATTAATATTGGGAACTTTAGTTGTTGACCTTTCTTAATCTGTTACCGTATGATTTAGGTTTATATTGTTAAGCTACTATTGTATAACTACTTTCAGCTGAGGATTTTGTATAAATCTTAAAGTGTCTTATTTTGTTGGATAAAATGGCTATATTCCAAAATAGAATTAAGAATTTTAAAAAATAAATATTTTAAAAGTAGTAGTCAGAGACTCAACTTTTTTTAGTAATTTAATGGGCTGTATGTAAAACAACAAGGGAGATGAGAGAAAAGGAGCTCTCTAAAACTCTTGAAAAGTGCTTGTCCCCGATTTTCTATGCAACAACATAAAATGGAATACATTTTTAATTTCATTACAAATACTGAAAAAATCACTCGAATATTGAATTTTTGCCATTTAATATTCCAAAATGTTAGCTATGAAAAGATAAATAATATCAACAAATATCTATGAAAATTTATTCTTCCATTATAACAATTATGTCAATTGTAGACAGCCTTCTCAATGTTGTAGGACGTCATAACAATTAGTATAGTGAAGTGAAAACTAATTATTTAATTGTATTTATTTATGAAAGTTATTTGCCGCCCATCTTGTATCCAATGGCTATGGGCAGCTTACACATAAAAAAATATTGAAAAACATTAAAATCATCCATTATAAAAACACAACCAATAAAAACGTTAACAGATACTAATAAATACTTATCTTCTTTTTTTGTTGGTTGAAATTATCAATGATGACGCCAATGAAAAGATTCAAAGTGAAGAATGAACCAAATATAATGAATCCGACAAAGTAAAGATACATATACAAGTTATGCTCATACTGGGGTTGCTTTTCTACCTATAAAACAAGGAAACATGGGAAAATATTATCCAATGAGCTTTCAGGAATGATGAAGAATTTGTTTGCTAAATATTTGCTGTATATCACAATAAAGGAACAATGAAATAATGTACAGAATTTATCATTTTTTTCCTTCCTAGCAGTTTCTCACACATGCAGCTTCCACTTTTTTGGGATCAACTGAGTCTTGATCTATTGGTTGTGACAGGAATTGACTGACCAGTTTGTCTTAGCCATGGATTAAGGTAGAATGACTGTCCCAAAGTTACCCAGCCAGCTTTCATATCTAAGGCAGGACTAGAACATCTGGTCTCTGGATTTTTAGGCTGCTGCCTTAACTGCTAGGCCAAACTGGCTCTAGTCTATACAGAATATATGATTATATCTTGAAATCTATTTCCTTCATTAATTTCCTAGGAGGGATATGAGGAAAATACTTTGGGTGACATTAGAAGCAGCAAACCAACGTCGAAAGAGGTCCACCTGGAATTACGATAACATAATTCTATAAATGGACCAGTATGGGATAAAACTGCTGCAATAATGGAAGAATCTGGTATCAGCTTTCTTTATGTTATTCTCTTCAATAGTAAATACTGGAGAGAAGAAGACTGAGAATTCATTTTAGATGAATTAGAGGATAGTCAAAGTCAACTTTCTGCTGCTTAGTCCTAATGAATTAAGCCTTCTAAACTCCAGATTATCTTGTGACATCTAGAGACCAAACCTCTGATGTACAAGAAAGATCTTCAAAGCATCTGGCTACTGAATGGATCTGACTGAAAGCAGTAACATTAAGTTGGTAATGTTCCTTTATATAATCTGAAAGCAAAGCAAAATCTACTTATTATGAGCACATGGAGATTTGTCATTGTATACTTACTCCTGTTGAATCAACAGCAGCATACATTATTTCCATCCATCCTTTAAAGGTAGCCTATAAAAAAAGTATCAGTGTTGATATATAGCAGATGCTGTTCCATTAACAGAACAATGGATGCAACCTAGACTTCAAAATGAAAACACCTATTTGGAATGAAATGAATAAAGAACTGTGCTAGTATACAAATGACCCTCAACTAAGTTTAAGGGCCAAGTAAATTTTCTGCAATTTTATAATTTAGCATTTGATACCTGCATAAGATGGCCAGCAATAGTGACTAATGCAAATGCCAATATATTTAGCATTGCTGGGATGGACTTTCCATACAGTTCTTTACTATCCTTATTTTTAACAACCAGTACTCATTTTTACATGTTTCCTTCCTAAAGAAGAATGATGTTGAAGCAAAGCATAAATATGTTAGAACGGAAGAACTGAAATGGTGAGTCATGGCTATTTTACACAAGTCACTGAATTTACTGATCTGGATCAGTCCAATGGCTTTCCTTTGACAAAAATGGTGAAGATACAGCAAAAACTCTGCCAAACAAAATGCTCTGTTGATATGTTGTTCCTATATGCTAAATATTGCTTGCTTGAAAATAGGGATATCAATTGATAAGGTTTGGTTAATGCAGGGGTAGGCAACCTTGGCTCTTTTATGACTCGTGGACTTCAACTCCCAGAATTCTTGAGCCAGCTACGCTGAGGGAAAAGGGAGAGGTTTCCAAGCTGAGCCATGCTGGCTCAGGAATTCTGGGAGTTGAAGTCCACGAGTCATAAAAGAGCCAAGGTTGCCTATCCCTGAGCTAATGGCTCCATTTGTTTCCATTTTTCCTATGAAACCTAGTATAGATGGAAAGTTATTACTAGTATCAAAGTGATAGTTACTTACAATCTGAAGAAGAGAGAGATATCCAGCTCCAACATTGTCAAAGTTGACTCTAACATTTCTCCATCTGGCATATTCTAAAGTCACACAGACATTTTTAAACGGGACGATTAAATGTGAAATCCTTACTCCATCTGTTTTATTAACACATTCAAAGAATGTACCAGCAAACAGATTTACACCCATGATGCTGAAAATTAGCCAGAATATAAGACAAACAAGAAGCACGTTCATAATCGAGGGAATGGCTCCTACCAGGGCATTCACCACCACCTGGAGACAGGGGAACAAAAATGGTGCAAAAGCTTGTAGGTCTATATATCCAACAGTTTCATGGCACCTGAAAGATTAAATACATTTGCCCCAACACAAAGTGGACTCAGATGCACATCAGATGCATGAGTTGCTATCCAAAATTTACAAAAAAGAAAAAAAGAAAAAGAAGACTTAGAGCAGGGGTAGACAACCTTGGCTCTTTTATGACTCGTGGACTTCAACTCCCAGAATTCCTGAGCCAGCCACGAGTCATAAAACAGCCAAGGTTGCCTACCCCTGACTTAGAGCAATGTGGAGACATTTCCTGAAATTTAAATATATAAAACTAATCATAGACAATTCACTAGGAACATTCACATAACAAGCATGCTGATGTGGGCCACCAAAAAGCAGCAGCCAGTAAGAATTGCTCTTCTCTTGTCAGTAGCACCAAAGAAATCTCAGGAATATAAAACAGAAAAAATCTTAAATATTATGTTTCCACAATTATTTTATAGGGTAGAATTTTTTTTAAAAAAAATAACCTCTGGAATTTCAGGGATTGACAATTTATAATGGTTCTCTTTGACATATTTGGACTGATTTGTCAAGAGAGTATGCAAGTTTTGCTGTGAAAGGGGAATTCATCTGAGCCAAATGCATTGGTAGGGCAAAGGAGTGGGTGGGTGGAATAATGAAATATTCATCCTGACATCCTGATGCATATAGAAGGCATGGTGGGATTTGCACTGGGAGACAGGTTTCATAATTTTTTATTACTGTGGCTTGAACCAGGTACTTATGATTTCAGCTTACAAATAGCAACATCATCTTCAAAACAAAACAATGAAGATGTGGCGAAGGGCAGGTATAGTAATACAGTACTATGAAGACAAACCAGAAAGCAAAATGAACATGGGCCAAAGCCAGAGGGATGGGACGGGAACAGGCAAATAAAGGACTGCAGACTAAGAAGAAAACTGGTATTTTTTTTTCCAGACTAAGACTGGGTAAACGATGAAATCTTCAAACATTAAGAAAATGGCGAAACAAACGTAAGTAAAAAATATTATGCTTAAGATTTTCTGATGTGTTGCACATTTGTGTAGCTTTCTGAACTGACCTAATAATAAAGTCAGTGTTCTGATGCAGTCTTGGGTATTTTTTTTTTATGGGCAACTTGGTTTTTGCGCAAACAACATATCAGTAATAGCTTCGCTTTAATTTGCAATACAACGCCCTTTCAACTCAATCCAGCTATTTTATGAACAAAAATGCACCAATCGGACAAACCGAACGTCAGTATATATCAATCCATATATGCCCACATAATCAAAGGAACCTTCTCAATCTTATTTTTAGTTATAAAAGCCAATCAACCAGAAAGACTCTGTGGTGTTAGTCACACCCTTTTCAGAGAGCTGAATTATTGTAAAGAAAGGAGTTGCCTTCAAAGACAACTGGGAAGCTACAACGGGTTTGGAATGTGGCCGTCAAATTGGTAGGATAGAAAACCTATTACTGCAGAATACTTTGTATTCACAGTTGTTGCAATGCTTGCCAATAAGCTTTCACATGCAGCTCAGTCCAAGTAATCCTTGAGTTACAACAGTTCACTTAGTGACCTTTCGAAGTTACGACATAACCTCCCCAAGTCCTCATGACACAGTCCCGAGATTACGAATGTTGTAGCACCACAGCAGTCGTTCACCCTTGTGAATGACCGCAGAGGCATTGCAGCATTCGCTCTGCCTCGGCCAAGTCTCCACAAGCACTGGGCCTATAGAGACTTACCTTGCAAAGATCTAGCAAGGTGTCTCCTCCTCCAATATCCGTGGCACGGTTTCTTTGCCTGCTCCTGGCGCTCCAAAAATGGAGCGGTGAGAGCAGAGGGAGAGCGGGACGAGCGTGCCCTGCTTGGCTTCCCTGACTCACGAGGCTGCCTGCCACTTCTGGAGTGGCAGGCAGTCTCAGTGAGTCTACCCAAAGGCTTCCAGTCTCAGGGCAAAAAGATGATGTCACGTTGCTTCAAGTCTCCCGTTGGCTTGCAAAGGTTTTTCGCGCAGAGACTGGAAGCTTCTGGGGGGACCATGATCTGATGGGGCTTCAGGCTCCCATTCTCTGCAAAAGTGGATGAAGGCCTGAAGTCCCTTGAGATCACGGCCCCCAGAAGCTTCCGGTCTCTGCGCGAAAAACGTTCGCAAGCCAACGGGAGGCTCGAAGCAATGAGATTTCGCTGCCCCAAAGCCTCCCGTCAGCTTGCAAATGCTTTTCGCACCGAGACTGGAAGCCTTTGGGGCAGACTCACCGAGGCTGTGCACCGCTCCAGAAGCAGCAGGCAGCCTCGGTGAGTCCCAGAAGCTGAGGGCTCGCTCATCCCTCTTTCCCCGCTCCACTTTTGGTGTGACAGGAGCAAGCAAAGAAACCACGGCAGAGAGGCTGGAGAGGAGACAGCTTGCTAGATCTTTGCAAGGTGAGTCTCCACAGGCCCAGTGACTGTGGAGACCCAGCACGACAGGATGGGGGGGGGGAAGCAATTGTGGAGAGCATGAGGTATCTCAGTGGGTCGAGGGAGGCCTTGGGTGGTCTTAAGCAGGTGGCCTGTTCCATCACTAGGTCTCCCATGACCTTCCCCACCCTGAGATACCTCATGTGCACTTAACGACCCATGCATTCGATTAGCAAATGTGTCGGGAGTTTTCACATTCATTTCACATTCACTCCAACGAATCCTCAGGTTACGAATGTAATTGGCAGGCTCCATTACATGCGTAATTTGAGAATTACCTGTATGCTAGTTGTTAGTTATAAAGCTGTATGCAGTCTGACTCTGAACTAAAGGCTGCCGTATAGGTAGTCCTCGACTTACAACTATTAATTTAGCAGCATTTGAAGTTACAATGGCATTGAAAAAAGTGACTTACAACCGGTCCTCACACGACCATCCCAGGATTCCCCAGAGCCATGTGATCAGAGTTCAGGAACTCGGTCACTGGCATGTATTTACAACAATGGCGATGTCCTGGGATCAAGTGATGGCCATCTGCAACCTTTTCAGTCACCTTCCGACAAGCAAAGTCAATGGGGGAAGTCGGATTCGCTTAACAACCACATGATTCGCTGAACAACTGCAGTGATTTGTTTAACGACCATAGCAAAAAAGGCCCTAAAATCAGGTATTATTCGCTTAACAACAGCCTTGCTTAGTAATGGTAACTCTGGTTCCTAGTGTGATTGTAAGTCGAGAATTATCTGCACATCATGATTTTGTCTGCCCTGGAAAGGAATCTAGAGTAGGTCTGCCCAAGGTTGTGTTTTTGTGAAAGGAAATGAGAAACAGAAGTCAAGCCACCTTAGTGGGATTGGGGCACCCCCTTCATGTTTTATTTCACAATGAGACATTGTTACTGCTGGGTGCTTCTTCTATGCTGCACTTGGTCACCTTTCTTATATGTAAGATTTTTCATAATATAAAATTTAATCTTAATTTATTTTAAGGTATATTTTTTCAACCTATCTTGACGGTCAGGATTTACATCTTATTTTTAATTTGAATAAGTCTATAAAGTACTCGTTTTCATACACTTCATTTTGCTTTTTAAATTACAGCTTGTTTGGCAATAAAGAAAGCAAAGCAATCTGTTCTAGGATTAATTTACGTCGCCTTATGTCGCAATTTTGCATAAGGTGCTTCTCCAATGGTTCTACGGATAGCATTAAAAGAACAATACACTTGGCTGTAAAACTATTTGCAAGAATGACTATGGCTATGATAACCTTCTCTGCAAATCTTTATCCTTGTTACAGGGAATGTTTTTAATAGTGAAAAAGCCAAACAGCAGATAACTTCACCCAGCAAATACTCTACAGAAATCCCCAATGAATCTGCATCTATGGAATAGCTTGTTACCAATAATGTTGGTCTTACTTACCCTCATTCCTTCAAAGCGGGATAAGGCTCTTAAAGGTCTCAAAGCTCTTAGGGTGCGAAGTGATTTAATAGGACCAAGTTCAGAATAGTTCAAGGCGTTGGCAATTAAACTTACTAAGGAAACCTGTTCAAAAACAAGAAGCACTGGCATATCAAAATCATGTCACTGAAGAAAAGTTATGGTATTCTGTTTGAAAACATAACTAAAATAAATAAATAAATTACCAGATGGGTTACCAGATCAAAGTAGCCTATATTTAGATTCTGCTTTTTACACTGGTAGAATTCAAGGCAGCATACCAATAGAACTGTAGTCTTTTTAAGCAAATTTATTGCATTAAGTGTTCTAGACTAGATCAGGGCTTTTCAACCAGTGGTACGGGTACCACCTGTGGTACATTGGTAGCTGGCAGGTGGTACACAACCATTCTAGAAAAGTAGCGGGGGAGGGGAATGAGCTGAACCGGTGGCAACACTGCACAAGCCTGAGCGAGAGATGGCTGGAGCTGCAGGGCTGTCAGGGCTCACCAGAAGTGCTAGGATCAGTGGCGCTTTCCAGCTGATCGGCGCTTCTTCGGGGCTGTCAGAGCTCAGCGGAAGCACCAAGATCAGCGCCAGGCTCCAGCTGGAGCTCGGCGATGATCCTGGTGCTTCTGCTGAGCCCAGAAGAAGTGCCAATCAGCTGGAATGTTGCAGCATCTCCAGGGTCTTGTGATTTACATTCAGATGCTTGGCAACTGATTCATATTTATGATGGTCACAGCGTTCCAGGGTCATGTGAAGTGATCAAAACCTGCTGCAACCACTCAGCAGACGGGGGGAATAAAAACCAAACACCCCCCCACCCCACCCCAACTGCCAATCCTCGACAGAAATGCTCACAACAATGAAAACCTCAGGAAGAAGATTGCCGCCGGGCAGGCAGGCAGGCAGGTATCTTGCTCGGCTGTGGCTTGGGGGGCACTTTTTTCAGTGCCATTGTAACTTCGAACAGTCACTAAGTGAACTGTTGTAAGTCGAGGACTACTTGTACTTTATCACTTTTTTCATTTTGGTCATCAAGTTTTTGACACCTTGCTAGGCGACTGGTGGTACTCAGATGTTGCCAGATCCTAAAAGTGGTACAGTGGGTGAAAAGGTTGAAAAGCCCTGGACTAGACTGTTTTTACACCTTAATTGTAATTTCTTGTCATATCATGTCCTTTCCAGGGAACTAATGCCTCAAAAAAGGATACAATTTCTCACCTATTCTACTCTCACTAATGGCAGGCTTTTACTAATGAAGATCTAAAACCACAATTGCTGGTCACAGAATTGAGGTTTCAGATCTAAATTAATAAGAATCAAATATAGAAATTAATAAGAATCAAATATAGGAGAAAGAGTCCTGAGCACAAATGGAAGGAGTAGGCAGCCTATAGGGGACTCCTGATGCAAAATCAAGAGGCACAAAATAAGATCACTGAAATATCATCTGTAGTCACAGATACTTCAAATCTGCAATTTCAACAGGGAGTGCAAAGAAGGCCGGTTTTTTTAATATAGGCAAAACTCTAGCAATAAAATATAGGCCATAGGAAATAAGATTTCTCAATTTCATGCACAAGGCCATGATCAACTGGATACAACATAAAGATTAAAGAGGTCAGAAAAAGAAAATTTATTCTTCTGCAATTATTATGGAGTATTTGCAAATGGCAACTTCCTTGCTTTGAAACCTAAAACTGAGAAATCTGTGAGAATGGTTATGAAGTGTGGAAGGGGACGACAGAGAATGAGGTGGCTGGATGGAGTCACTGAAGCAGTAGGGGTGAACTTAAATGGACTCCAGAAGATGATAGAGGACAGGAAGGCCTGGAGGAACGTTGTCCATGGGGTCGCGATGGGTCGGTCACGACTTTGCAACTAACAACAAAAATATTTGAGCCAAGACATTGTCATGCCTTGAGCAAATGTGACCAGGCCAGCAACTGAATGTTTTTTCCCCCACTGATGATTAGCCACTTTCTCTATGGCACCTGAAAACAGCAGTCGAGCTTTGAAGACCAAGAGCAGTTCAAGGGTTATGTAAAATCCTGCTAAGTTTGGATGCTGTTGCATCTGTCTCACGAGGTAGGCAAAATAGGCCCAAGCTTTTGTGTATTAGCAAGTATGCAAATGCAACAGAAGGTTTCAGGCTGTTAAAAATCTTCTATTTTCATTGTGCCCACAAGTTCCTCTTGTGTTTTTTTTAAGGAATATAAACTTATCACCTTGTAAAATAAAACTTTTACCATATCAATATGTGTTTATGCTCAGCAGCGTGTGATTTATTTCCCCATTGGTCAATGTAATAAGTTAATGCTCTAAAGGAGGTGTGATGGCCCAGCAGTTAAAGACGCTGAGCTTGACAACTGGAAAGCGTTTTGAGATCCGAATGCAGTGCAATAGAGTGAGCTCCGGTTTCTGCCCACTTAGCAGTTCGGAAGTATGCAAATGCGAGTAGATTAATCGGTACCACTTCAGTGGGAAGCTATTGGCGTACAG